CTTGGTTCCTACACACTGAAGGACCAAATAGATTGGTTGGTCAGGCTTGGTTCCTACACACTGAAGGACCAAATAGATTGGTTGGTCAGGCTTGGTGACTTGGCTGATTGTGTGTCATCATACACTGAGGGAAGTATCACTGCTTGTCATATCAATCACTGGATTGTCTGGCCCAGACTCAATTATTTTCAGGTCGCTGTCGTACAGCTGGAATAATTCTGAGAGCAGACCAAACAAATCTAGTGGTCAGGCTCGGTGACTTGGTTGATTGCGTGTAATTGTACACCAATGACATGGATCTGTGATAACAATATCAATCACTGGATTATATGGACCAGTTTTGACTTTACAGGCTGCCGTCATAAAGCTGAAATATTGCTGAGAACAAACACTCACTCACTCCTTCATTAATAGACCCGTGAAGATTCCGGGGTAGAATAGGTCTTCAGCAACCCACGGATCGGGTGTTCAGGCTCGCTGACTTAGTTCATGCATGTCATCGATCCCAATTGCGTGTATCGATGCTCATGATATCAATCACTGAACTGTCTGGTCCAGACTTGATTATTTACAGACCGCCGTCATATAGCTGGAATATTGCTGAATGCGGCGTTAAACAACAAACCAACCAACAACCTTCATTAATACCAACACAGAGATACAAAGAGTCCTTGCAAGATGGAGTCTGACAGACCAGCCTGTGTTCCTTACTCTCTTCCTACTTACATCTTCATAAGTAAAATATTACTTCCTACTTTCTGTAATTATGTCTTCAACCAGAACACACACTGCAAACCACATTGATCCGACACATGAAAGAAAAACAACAGCACAATGCACTAAAACATGCAGTCTTCAAATACTCATGTCATAATCAAATATTATCCCGCCCCTGTGCTGTATATTTACATATTCCCTATATCAAACAGTTCCATCAGTGGTCCTATCACATCCAACCTGTCCGTTCTGTCAGGGCCATGTCAGGTGTTTGCCTACCACCCTTTCATCATGGATCAATGGATGCGTTCAGGCCTCGCAGTTCAGTCCAATCATCATAAGACACTGATAATGTGGTAATAAATTGATGAATTGATAGCCTTCACCATCAGCCTCACTTTGAAATTGTGTCCCCACTGTGAGCTTACTGTCACATAACATCTCTCAGCTGGCTTTTTGGACATATACATGTTTATGCCTCTATTTTTGTTTCCAAATGGGATGAAATTAGTTGATGGAATGCAAGATAACAAATTGATAAATTCTATCATATAATTTTCCTTTTGATGGTAAGCTGCTGGGTAAGACAATGAGAAAACTGTGGAATGATATGAGATCTGTTTGTTTCTGCACTTCCGTTTTCTTGTCAGACACAATGTAGTTTCATTTTGTAATAGCGACACAAGAGATAGGCGGATCACCCCACCCCAAACTTTTGAAAATCAAATGTATGTTGTAGGCAGTAAAATTAGCAGCTGAGAATGGATTTTGATATTTTGGACCCCTCCCTTTTAAAAATGCTGGATCTGCCATTGGTCAATACTGCCAGACAAAGAGAAAACCACAGAGACTGTAGCCAGTAAAACACCAAAAAAATGTCCACATCTTAGTGTACATTTCCTGTCATAGAGGAGACTAAAGCCAGTCTACCTGTTCACACCAATACTACCTCCATCATTGTCTACCAATGTCCATATCCTAGTGTACATTTCCTGTTAAAGAGGAGACTAAAGCCAGTCTACCTGATCACACCAATACAATGTCCACATCTTAGTGTACATTTCCTGTCATAGAAGAGACTAAAGCCAGTCTACCTGTTCACACCAATGCTACCTCCATCATTGTCTACCAATGTCCATATCCTAGTGTACATTTCCTGTTAAAGAGGAGACTAAAGCCAGTCTACCTGATCACACCAATAAAATGTCCACATCTTAGTGTACATTTCCTGTCATAGAAGAGACTAAAGCCGGTCTACCTGATCATACCAATAAAATGTCCACATCTTAGTGTACATTTCCTGTCATAGAGGAGACTAAAGCCAGTCTACCTGATCACACCAATAAAATGTCCACATCTTAGTGTACATTTCCTGTCATAGAGGAGACTAAAGCCAGTCTATCTGTTCACACCAATAAAATGTCCACATCTTAGTGTACATTTCCTGTCATGGAGGAGGCTAAAGCCAGTCTACCCGATCACACCAATAAAATGTCCACATCTTAGTGTACATTTCTTGTCATAGAGGAGACTAAAGCCAGTCTACCTGATCACACCAATAAAATGTCCACATCTTAGTGTACATTTCCTGTCATAGAGGAGACTAAAGCCAGTCTACCTGATCACACCAATAAAATGTCCACATCTTAGTGTACATTTCTTGTCATAGAGGAGACTAAAGCCAGTCTACCTGATCACACCAATAAAATGTCCACATCTTAGTGTACATTTCCTGTCATAGAGGAGACTAAAGCCAGTCTACCTGATCACACCAATAAAATGTCCACATCTTAGTGTAAATTTCCTGTCATAGAGGAGACTAAAGCCAGTCTACCTGATCACACCAATTAAATGTCCACATCTTAGTGTACATTTCCTGTCATAGAGGAGACTAAAGCCAGTCTACCTGTTCACACCAATAAAATGTCCACATCTTAGTGTACATTTCCTGTCATAGAGGAGACTAAAGCCAGTCTACCTGATCACACCAATAAAATGTCCATATCATAGTGTACATTTCCTGTCATAGAGGTGACTAAAGCCAGTCTACCTGTTCACACCGATAATACCTCCATCATTGTCTACCAATGTCCATATCGTAGTGTACATTTCCTGTCATGAGGAGACTAAAGCCAGTCTACCTGTTCACACCGATACCACCTCCATCATTGTCTACCAATGTCCATATCATAGTGTTCATTTCATACCACAGAATCCTGAGATCAATGTCTATTAATATCGTCTCTCCTGCTAATATTGAATCCACAGATTCATAAAGCATGCCCACTTCCAGGCCACTGTTTGAGCGTCAAATGTTCAATATTTCACAATGCACACGTTTTTTTATTTCATGAACATATTTTTCATACCAGCCTCTTATGTAATTAATCAGAAAGAAGGTCAATTTCGTATTTCTCAAAGCTGCTCGTTTGTCATGATGCATTGACTTGTGTTCCAGAACGTGGCTCTGTGACACAGCCTTTAGCATGGGAGAATCTGTTTTCTGTGTACAATGCCACCAGCCTATCAAATAGCATGGCACCATTGCAAATGACCTATCATACATACTCCTTGAACACAGGTTGATAACATCTGAAAAGCACTGATGGGCATTTAGGAAAGGGCACCTGTAAATGGTGAAGAGATTAATGAGAGGCAGTCTGTACATATCAGATCAGAATAATTGGAGTCAGTCTATGCATATCAGACCAGATTAATGAGAATCAATCTGTATATATCAGACCAGATTAATGAGAATCAATCTGTATATATCAGATCAGAAAAAATTGGAGTCGGTCTATGCATATCAGACAAGATTAATGAGAATCAATCTGTATATATCAAACCAGATTAATGAGAATCAATCTGTATATATCAGACCAGATTAATGAGAATCAATCTGTATATATCAGACCAGAAAAAATGGAGCTGGTCTGTGTTTATCAGACCAGATTATTGAGAATCAATCTGTATATATCAAACCAGATTAATTAGAATCAATCTGTATATATATCAGACCAGATTAATGAGAATCAATCTGTATATATCAGACCAGATTAATGAAATTCAATCTGTATATATCATACCAGATTAATGAGAATCAATCTGTATATATATCAGACCAGATTAATGAGAATCAATCTGTTTATATCAGACCAGATTAATGAGAATCAATCTGTATATATCATACCAGATTAATGAGAATCAATCTGTATATATCAGACCAGATTAATGAGAATCAATCTGTATATATATCAGACCAGATTAATGAAATTCAATCTGTATATATCAGACCAGAATAATGAGAATCAATCTGTATATATCAGACCAGATTAATGAAATTCAATCTGTATATATCAGACCAGATTAATGAGAATCAATCTGTATATATCATACCAGATTAACGAGAATCAATCTGTATATATCAGACCAGATTAATGAGAATCAATCTGTATATATCATACCAGATTAATGAAAATCAATCTGTATATATCAGACCAGATTAATGAGAATCAATCTGTATATATCAGACCAGATTAATGAGAATCAATCTGTATATATCAGACCAGATTAATGAAATTCAATCTGTATATATCAGACCAGATTAATGAGAATCAATCTGTATATATCAGACCAGATTAATGAGAATCAATCTGTATATATCATACCAGATTAATGAAATTCAATCTGTATATATCAGACCAGATTAATGAAATTCAATCTGTATATATCATACCAGATTAATGAGAATCAATCTGTATATATCAGACCAGATTAATGAGTCAGTCTGAATATATCAGACCAGATTAATGTCTCAGCGGCAGTCTATATATCAGAGGTGATAAATGAGACTCAGTGAATATACCAGCTATTGTTTCCATGCATTCTTGTACTATTTTCCACACTACAGAGTAACAATGGTCAATATTAATGTGTAGGAATATTAATTTTAAAAGCATTATATTACATTTTTTCAAACTGTCTGTTACACCCATTTCCTGGTACCAATCTAAACACTGTATTAAGTACTCTGCAACACTGCCAATGGAAGCAGAGATTCAGAAATAAGATTAATGGAAGCTTGCATACTTGTGTTCCATAACAGCACATCGAAATAGAAACAATATGAATAAAAATATCTATCTGTTGTGGAACAAAAAATTAATAATGACTCATTTGCATCTTAGCTAAATTGGAAAATAAATCTCAATATACCCTAGCCTTCACAGCTTGTTATTACACGCACCTGCAGGTTAAATAAGATACACCTGCAACATATTTACCTGTTTTTGTGGACACAGTCAGTCTAGGTTCTAAACAGATGGCAGTGTCTCTCCCAGTGTTTGGTGAACAATAGCAGTGGGAGATTCTCGGAATATCGTCCAAAATGCAGCTCTCACAAGCTGGATGTTACCTGTCCGTGATAACCTCGTTAAGCTTTGTACCTGTACAGGGCAGATTCCAGCATACACACATACATTGTGCTTTCTCACTACGGTATTGATTAGGGGACACCGATGGCCTTGCCTGCAGCTGACAATGCTCAGTAGAAGGCATTAAAAATACATCGCACACGACTTACAGAAAACAGGTCGACATTTTCAACACTCAGCTGAACGTGCAGTTTTTACAATTTGCTGAGACTCTTTCAAAGCAGGCTGTATTGGCTTCATATCAGTTTGTGTACAATGCATCACATGATAGGCGCGCTTTGAATAGATATCGCGAAAAATGATTCGTTTCTCGTCAAACTGCCTGGAAATGGCAGGAGGACTGATTGTCAGAACATTAAAAAAATCGGGAGAATATTCCACACTTTTTATAAAATATTCGATGAACAGTTGTCCAAGTTGTATAATGAACAGTTTCTTACAAATTTGTATTTCACCAAAAATATATACAATTTGTTGTGTAAAAAATATAACATGACAAAAACCATCCATACTAAACCAACATCTGACTAAACTATAATCTTTCATGTTTTCGTTTGTGAGATCTCTGAATTCAAATTGTCGCTAAATTTTGATGATTAGCAACAAAGTCAATAATCCTGCTGATATGTAGGCCTATTCCACCCAGCTTGAGAACATGATCACACAAAGTATCATTTTTTCAAGTACTATTTTCCTTGTGACTGATATGAGCAGTTGCACTATTGTCTGGGGTATTCTGTGTGTGAATCACGGGTCTGCACAATACATCACTGCACATACTGCACTATGCAGCAAGAGAGCACATGTACTTTTTGTGAGGTGAGGTGAAATAGGGTTTAACATTATACACTCTTATAGCGAAACACAGGCATGCACATGTGTGTCATTAGTGTTTGCCAACTGAAAAAAACATGCCGCAGTTATATAGAAACTCTACACTGACCACTCCTTGTTTTATTCCCTCAATCCTCAGTACCAGGCAGGGTAACAACAATTGCAAGTACAATCTTTACGACCTTCCATCGCCCGGGCAGACACTCTACCGCTAGACCACGGAGGCAATCTTATAGTTTTTGGGTCAGTCAGTCAATATTTCACTTGTTATGGAATATCTTCTACATAAGGTCTACATAAACATTTAATTCTCTCTGCAAAAATAACAATCACCTCAGTAACAATTACTTTTCAAAATGGCACAGGTGATTTTATTTCTTTTCATGAGAAAATGTGACCACAGGACCATGTTACTAATAATAATAACAAGTTTTCTCCAAGTGTTTTGGTACTGTTATTAGTTTCATGGCCCTGTGATGTGACCTACTCGGATGACAGAATTCAAAATCGTAAAAATAATTTTTTACTAATTTGTTATTTGTTAGCACATTTGATGTAAAAATTCAATACAAAATAATGAATGAATACTTTGTTACAACCAATTACAATTTTAGGTTTCACTTTAGATGTTCATCTGTTGGAAATCTGTAGTCACAGCCAATAAATAATAATCTCATTGAAAACACCTGTCATAAAATCTCATCTGCTTAATGACAAAGCTCTGCAGATGACAGAGTGTACATTGATATAACTAGAGTGTCAGTCAAATCAAATTAAAATACTTTGCATAACCTCTGCTAGGTCAGTCAGTTGGACAATAAACAGACATTAACTCATCTATCCTGTCAGTGCTGATTAGTGACTGGTCACACATCATAACGGATGTGGGTGTGTGTGGGGTGTGTGGATGTGTGTGGGGGTGTGTGGGGGGTGGGGGTTGGGGGTTGGGGGTGCAGGGGGTGCAGGGGGTGCATTCGGATTGGTCTTAGGACTGTATCATATTTTGACAATCTCTCACTTCATGTAACATTTTTTCATACCTCCAATACACATAACAATCTATCATGACCCCTTCCCCTAATAAATTACAAGTCCGTTACTATACATGTTCAAATTTATGATTTTCATATTTGGAAAAATCCAATTGTGTCATATTATCGTGACCCTCTTGACCTCTTGAGTTGTGATAAATTTTGTCTCTTTCACTTTCACTGTGTCATTTTTCATGCCCCCCCCCCCCCCCCCCCCCCCCCCATCTCTTTTTCTCTCCCAAGCCCATGCCCTGACACCCCCACCCCCCAATCCCCAGCACCCCCCTCCCCTAACCCCAACCCTGACACACACACCCCAAATATATGACCAGTCCCTAACATATTCCAGTACATAATAATCGTTAAGAAGTTCTGTCTCTCAAAGTGTTTGCTTGAGATGGATGAGCTCCGTCTTCCAGCAGCTATCTTCTGGGGTATTACTGAGGGGTTAACATTGCTTAATCATGCTGATGATCTTGAACAAACAGATGAGCATGCAATATTTTATCACTAAATCTATAGGCAGAGACATTAAAACAAACAGATGTAAAAAAGTGAAGAACAAAACTAAACAAATGAATTTCAATCAATATTTAAACATTTCTCAAATTACACAAATTTCAACAAAGACAAAATTGATTATATCAAGATGACTGTGAAAATATGGTGATAGGACAAGATGATAATGTGGCATTAATTTCTATGTTTAGCCCCACACAGGATATATCACATATAGTTTTTTAATTTAATCCAAATCAAATGTGAATATCAGATGTGTTTACAGCAAGGGCATCATGAGCCCATGCTTTCGGAAGTAATTGTTTATGCAAAGAAGACACACCGAAAAAAACTTTGGAAATATTCCGAGCTCAATCCCTGCAGACTTCTAAATATGGCTGATATTTGCAGGATGGATTCTTGGTAAATATCAGAACCATTCCGCTGTGAAAAGGATGCTATAGGTACCTCCTGAGAATGTGATAATGATCTGGTACTGGTGAGATATTGATTGTGGAAAACATACATACACCTTGCTGAACCTAAGGCAATAACAATTATCAATACAACTGCAGAAAAACTAAAAACAACAGAATGGGTTCAAGTTTTAGTCTAAAAAGGGAATTTTCGGTAAACCTTTTACATGTTAAAATAGATGAGGATGTTTGCAGAAATAGCTAGGGATGAAGGAAAACTAGCGGTTACCACAGTAACAGTGTTTTATGTTATTTTTATCTTTCTGCTCAAACCGGAGACCAGATTTACTTTATTGTCAAAGCCTGGTGTGATGATTGTGATGATGATGATGATGATGATGATGATGATGATGATAATGATGATGATGGTGGTGGTGGTGGTAGTGGTGATGGTGGTGACGACGATGACAATGAAGTTGATGATGATGATGATGATGATGATGATGATGATGGTGGTGGTGGTGGTGGTGGTAGTGGTGATGGTGGTGACGACGATGACAATTAAGTTGATGATGATGATGATGATGATGATAATGATGATGATGGTGGTGGTGGTGGTAGTGGTGATGCTGGTGACGACGATGACAATTAAGTTGATGATGATGATGATGATGATGATGATGATGGTGGTGGTGGTGGTGGTAGTGGTGATGGTAGTGACGACGATGACGATGAAGTTGATGATGATGATGATGGTGGTGATGGTGATGATGATGATGGTGGTGGTGGTAGTGGTGATGGTGGTGATTACGATGAAGTTGATGATGATGATGATGATGGTGGTGATGGTGATGATGATGATGGTGGTGATGGTTGTGATGACGACGATTATAATAAATATATAAGTGGAACTTTATGTTTTTTTCACCTACCTGAAGCATCATCACAAATTTTACACTTTATAATTCATTATAAATACAATATTAATTCGCTTTGTAGCTTACATTACACCAGATCATTGTATCAACTATAGACCTCGGAGTCAAACTGCTGTTAGCAATTTAGTCAAGATGGCTGATAGTGGCCATATCTAATTAACAATACACTTTCACCTGACCAGTATCTCTCCAGTTTAAGGGCGGTCAGGTAGCCTAGTGGTTAAAGCATTCGCTCGTCACGCTGAAGACCCGGGTTCGATTCCCGACATAGGTACAATGTGTAAAGCCCATTTTTGGTGTCCCCCGCTGTGATATTGCTGGAATATTGCTAAAAGCGGCGTAAAACCATATACTCACTCACTCTAGTTTAAAAAAGTTCATTTGACCAATATCTCTCCACTTTAACACCACCCCATCACTTAACAATAAACTTCACTTTATCAATATTCTTTCCACTTTAACAGCACTTTTTCAGTTTCTATAACATGCAGTCTTAAGCATCTCTCAGTTTGCCAAAACAGACTTCCGGGTACATGCTCTTTTCAGTGCGTAAGACCGTATAGATTTCGATGTCCTCAACCTTGTATGTTAAACATACCCACATCCACCATCTATGTACACCAGTCCTGCATGACAGTTCAATACTGTTATCAATACTGTTATGTCCCTCAGCAAGCACCTGTTGTGTCCCTGGTCAGCTGTTATAAACATGAGGAGAACAAAGACAGCTGACCAAGACCGTCCACTAACTGTGTATATCCAATCACAATGCCAGGTGTTGTATTCCACAGTTGTCCTATGCTCCAGACTTCAACAGTTTCAGTGGCAGGTTATCATATGTTTTCCAGGTCAATTTATTCAAACTGTCATTTTCAGGCATAAAATATATGCGTTTGTTTTCTAATTTTGTCCAATGTGAAGCTGTTTGAATACATGTGTTAAATCATTATTACATGTGACATATATGCAAGAACATCTACAGTTATCAAAGGAATAACAGCCAATGTTACACTTCACTGTTCTGCTGTCTAATGTAAGAACATTTACATCGTTTAATTGAATAACCTCCAATATTACACTTCATTGTTCTGCTGTCTAATGCAAGAACATCTACAGCCTTCAAGGGAATTACAGCCAATATTACACTTCATTGTTCTGCTGTCTAATGCAAGAACATCTACAGCCTTCCTGGGAATAACAGCCAATATTACACTTCACTGTTCTGCTGTCTAATGTAAGAACATTTACAGCCTTCATGGGAATAACAGCCAATATTACACTTCACTGTT